ACAAGAGCTGGGGTACAGGCCAGAGATGCGGGGGTGAGAGGATTCACAAGAAACAGAGTGGGGACCAGAACAGGCAGACTGACTGAAATAACACTGCTGAGGGGAGCAACGGGCAAGACAAGAGAGGTCTGCCTCACCATGTGGGTTTCTCCCTGGCTGGCCAGGGATCGAACTCATGCTGCAGAGGCTGCAGATTGCTTCATTGTGCAATGCTTAACCCCTTGCGCTACCAGGGAGGCCCAAAAAACTGTATTTTTTATATCTACCAAACCCAATCAAATGCATTTTATATGCTTAATTACTGGTTTAACTTACTGTTTCTCTTTGTGAGTTCTGTTGGTCAGATAGCATATGTAGAAACATTAAGAACAATGTTTCCTTATTACCTAGGTACTATGTCAAACATAAGTTCAAAGAAAGAACTTGCTTCAGAAGTTATTTGCAATATTGGCTTACTTACTCCAATTTAGTTCAGAACTCATCCTTGCAACTATTTATTTTGCTTGAAGATTTATGGAAGAAAAAAAATCACCCAAATTACCTGGTAATTTATGCAGTTGTGCTGTCAAAATCTGATGTACTTTCTACTTCCAAAGCACGTATGTTCTTGTGCTATTTTCCACATAATCCAGCATCAAATAAAGACATGAGTAATTTTGACTTGATTGCACTATAATTATTCAAATATTCTTAATTTTATGCTCTAACCTAATTTCCATATTCGTTATTATCATTTAAAATGAATATCATAGATAATGTACCTAAAGCACTTCCATTAATTGGAAAACATAATTCTTGAACAATAATAGTCACAACAAAAGCAACTCAATATAGAGGCCACTATGGCAAAGTAGCTGTACTTATTATCAGTATAAATCATGACAGAGTACCATAATATCAGCATCAGTGGTCCCCTTCCAGTTTAGCAGGATCACTCTATGTGGATAAGACTAGCTTGACCAGTGGCCATGTCAGTACACCAAGTCATCCTTCCTGACACCTGCCAAGAAAGGCAAACTCTCAGGTTGAAAGCAGTGCCTTAAAAACACCCACTTCTCCTGAAGCCGAAATTTGCTTATTGCAGCCGCTCAGCAGGGCTCTGCACCTCTTATCAATCAAGGAGGAGTTGCAACATTTCCTGCCCTCTGCAGGAAACAGAGTCTCTAGCAGATACTTATCAGCAGGGATTCTAGCAGTTATGCCATATAGGAAAGAATTCAGGGTCAAGGAGAAAAGGAAAAGATGAAAAAGAAAGCAAGAGAGGAAACAAGAGTACAAATAAGGAATTAGAGACAGTGTTTACCACAGACACCCTGTGCAGCACATCACAGGAAGCTGCAGCAGGAAGCTTCTGGGTGGACTGGAGAATCTTGGAGTATTAGTCATAAAAAAATTACTTCAGAAAAATATTGTCACTTACAGGAAAAAAATTTTTAAATAGGAGGTAGTACAAAAATTCTTTAAATGCTACACATCTTATTAACTTTGATTTTCACCTAGAAGTCATTTATTTTTCTGAACATAAAAACAGCCAAAACCTGAACCCAAAATTGGTTGTTATAAAATTGGCACCTAGTTTATCTACTTGCTTTTGCTCAATTCTAATTTAAATTTGAGGATAACCAAGCAATTGGATTAAGCTATTAGCAAAAGTTTGAGACCCTGGAGAATACTGTGTCAGTGCCTAAACCCTTGGAGAGCAGAAAAATAATAATGTTTCTCGAGTGAAAAAGAAAAAATCAGCAACAAAAGATTATACAGTGCCAATAGATCTTTAGAATTGTTAGTCCATCCATTGATTAAACTTATATGTTTACTATCTCATACTTCTTCTGTGAGAAAGGTAGGTATATTTTTTCTAAAAGAAAAGAAACAAAAAAAAAAGAAAGAAAAGAAACATTTTATACTACTTAAAAAGGAAAAAAATTGAAGTTAGGTAAAAACCTATCTAGGTCAAGTGATATGTTTAAAATTCAAGAAATTGTGCCAAAACAGCACCTCAGTTCAGCCATTGTTCAAAGATAACACTACCATTAGCTAAGAATAAATGAAAACAATATGGAGTAAACTTTGAGCTCTGTAGAAGAAAGCAATTTCTGATCCAGCAAGGAAGATGGTATTATTACTTTTTAAAAAGGAGGCGTATGTCCAGTGTTCTTCTCACAAGTAAATTAAAAATAATTTAACTTCTAACCATGATCTTAACACTATACACCTGTCAACCACTGCACAGAACCCATTGCTACCTGTCAGTAGATTATGAGTCAGTACTGTTATATTGTATCCACTGGACATTAAAATGCTCTTCTACAACCCACCACAACCCCCATGTATAGAACATAGCTCACATGGCAGAAATCATATTTCACAGAGGGGGAAAAAATGTTCTATAGCTCTGAAATAATCCACAAAGATGTCAGAAAATTTTAAGAACCTAACCAACCCATCAAGGCCGTGGGATTTATGGTTAGAAACACCTGCTCCCCTCTTCTTATCACTATTTTATAAAAAGGAAAAGGAAATAAAAGACAGAGTGACAAAAAAGGTAGAAAAGAAAAAAGAAAGTTTCCAAGCTTATAATAGAGGGATTATCTCAATTTAGTTAATAAAAAAGAATACCTTACCAAGTTTCCGGTATTTGTTTTATTATTTAATTTCATACAAAGCAGACCCTAACTTTGCATAAATTCCATAATTTCTAGCCTACAGCTGGAAGAAATAGGACCCCCTGCCAAACATCAGCCCAGAAAAGTCAGATTTCCCTGAGTGTCAGCATGAACGACACAGTTGAAGGTTAATATTTAATCTGGCCTTTTCTCTGATCCCTAAAATCATGTGGATAAGGTGAAGTTACTTTGAAATTGCTGAAAGCAAGATTTCATTCACCGTGAAACAGAGTTATGCTGGAAGAAGAGAAAACGAGAAAGCCATGCACAAGTTGTTGAAGGGTGAATAAATGTTAGTACTAGCAACATATTAAAGAGGCCAACTGATTTGAGAGCATAAAGAATCTACTTTAATCTTGTCTTTTCATAGTTATAAGCCTTTCAGAGATTTTACTTCCTGCGTGTTTATGCCAAGCTACTGAGCAACGACCAAAGGAAGAGCACGGCTCACTATAACAAGAAGAAAGTAGAGAACATACGGTGTCTGATTTCAACCTCAAACGTTTGACTCACTGTAAGAAAGTGTCTGAATATGTTTTGTCTTAAATTTTTACATACACTAATCCATTTCTTCACAGTATCCATTCACCAGTCAACTGTAATTTTCCCTGGGTTTCCTTATTAGGAGAGGTTTCCTCCCTTGTTTTCTGGAGCGTTTCGGTGCCTGATTTTCATCTTTATATTTGGTCACAGAAGCATAAAGCAAATAAATCTATGTACAACAATTCCATGTAGCCAAACCAATGACCACTTTCATTGTAAATTATTCCCCTCTTTCAGCACAAAACACGCCCGGAACACACAGAAGCATCGGGATGCTGGGCCAGGGCGTGACGTCATCAAGATGGCGACTTAGGTTCATCTGGACTTCGGCCCCACTCATAAGAAAACCAGCTAGCAGTTATCCATAGATAAGACACCTCTGTGAACATCCTGGAACCCTCAGATGAAGCTGAAGCAGCCCCCTGGTGCACCGAGACCAAGAAGGACCCCATTCTAGAGTTAAGAGGAGCAGCTGCCCTCTGCCCCGCGTCGCCCCTCCCCTAGGCTGGCAAGAGGGGCCTCCGGGCCTACGGTTTCCCCAGAGTGAGAATAAATGAGGCCACGGTAGACACCCCAATGCTCCCCCCAGCATTTCCTAGGAGGCCCACTTAGGTCTCATCTCATCTTGACCAGTGCGGATCAAATAGAAATGAACTTACAGCAAGCAGCGCTCGGGGCCTTGGCGGACAGAGTTCGTTCTTGCAGCTGCAACCTCGAGAGGATCCCAGCAGTGGCTCGGCCCACCTGCAGCGGCGAGCGGGTGGATCTGCCTGGCCAGGAAGCTCAGAAAGCAGTTCTGCCTGGTTCGGGTTACCAGCCACCTAGCCATGCAGGCCATGAAGCCCATGCCACGGCCCCCTGGACAGAGAACAAATTCAAAACACCACATTCTGCTGAATGCAGGCTCCTGACCCCGTCCACCAGGAACTCTGTCCAGAGAGCCCAGGCGGTTGCTCGCTGGTCCTAGAGTCGGGCTTGCAGTGGCTCTAACACAGACAATGGAGTCAGAAGCTCTGTCCATCCACAGTTCAGCCCTTCGCTGGCCAGAGAGTTCATGGGTGGTGCTGCCTGATCTGTGTCACTAGCCAAGAAGTCATACCTAAGATTGCCTTAAGCAGGGAGGCAAATTTTTCACAGCCCCACCAAGCTGCAAAGCAAAGTCTCCAGTCCCGCAAGGCGAGGACACCTGACCAGTTTCTGGCAAACACAGTGCCCATCCTGCAGCCGTGCTTGGGCAAGACATCAAATCAGCAGTCTGACCAACTGTTGAGTGTAACTTCTAGCCTGCATCACCCAGGAGCCTTAACCTGAGTTGCCTTGAAACTCAGCCAGTCGTGGATGCCCAGCCTATGCTCCGCCCAGCAGTGGAGCCCAGCCTATAGAGCCTTGCCTGAAGTCTGGCACAGCCTGCAGCCTTGTCAAAGCGAAGAGCTTAGTCAGTGACCCTGTCCTATAATGGAACATAACTTACCATCCCTTTTAATGAGAAAAAGGGATAGTGACTCCCCCACCTGATCTAGACGGCAATCTCCAGCCGCACCTAACTGTGGGATACAGCTAGAGGCCCCTTCAGACCAAAGAACCTGACCAATGACTGCACAGCACTGTAGCAGTCAGTGGTCTACCTGTTGGTAATGGCCCCTTACAGCTCTTGCCCACCTTCAGGGCACAGTCTGCATCCCCATCTGATTAAAAAGCACAGCCTGAAACATCCAAACTTTAAGTCCTGGCCTCTGGTTCCACATAATCAGAGTCCAGCATCTCTAGCCAATAAGGGATTAAAACCTGAAGCTAGCGCAGCCGGTAACCATCCCGAGTCGTTGGCGTGTCGGGTCGGGCGGCTGTAGCGGTGGGTCGGGGTCAGCGCTGAGATGTTTCAGAGACTCATTAAAAATGTTTGGACCCCCATGAAGCCCTACTATACCCAGGTCTACCAGGAGATCTGGGTAGGAGTGGGGCTGAAGAGCATCATCAGTTACAAGATCAGGAGTGCTGATAAAAGAAGTAAAGCTTTGAAAGGTCCGAGTCCCGCACCTGCCCATGGCCACCACTGACCGACCCGCCGCAGGGCCAGGCCGATGGAGCCGGCAGCGTGGGACGTCCCTGTGGCCTCTTCCAGCCCTGTCTCCTCCTTGACATGAATAAATGTCCCTGTGAGAATGGGGAAAAAAAAAAAAAAAAAACCTGAAGCTATAAAACTCCTAGAAAAAAATGTAGGGGAAAGGTTCTTGACATTGGCCTTGGCAATAATTTTATGGATATGACACCAAAAGCATAAGCAACAAAATAAAAACTAAACAAGCGGGGGGCTACAAACTAATAAGTTTCTGCACAGCAAAAGAAATCAATGAAAAAGTAGCCTAAAGAATGGAAAAAAATATTTGCAAACTGCATATTTGATAAAGGGTTAATGTCCAAAAAATATGTATATTTGGTCCACATGTAAGTGCAGTATCTATTTTTAAAAATGGGCAAAGGATCTGAATAGACATTTAAAATAAATATTTCACCAAAGAAAGTATTCAAATGTCCAATAGGTACGTTAAAAGATGCTCAACATCACTAATCACCAGGGAGATACAAGCAAAACCACAACATGACATTACCTTGCACCTATTGGAATGGCTATTTTATATATATATAGATATAATATATATATATATATATATCAAAAAAAGGTAATAGGTATAGGGGACAATTTGGAAAAAGGGAATCCTTGTACACCACTGATGATAGAGCCACTCTGAAAACAGTATAGGAGTTCCTCCAAAACTTGAAAATAGAACTACCATAAGACCCAACATCTTGACTTCGTGGGTATGTATCTGAAAATTCCTTAGAAAATTAAAAATGGAACTATCATTTGACCTGGAAATTCCACTTCTGGGTATATATCTGAAGGAAATTAACTCAGTATCTCAAAAAGATATCCACACTCCCATAGTCATTGCTGCATTATTTATAATAGTCAAGACATGGGAACAGCACAAGTGTCCATCAATGGATAAATGTTAAAAGAATATTAGAGCCTCCCTCTGGTGGCCTAGGGGAAAGTCTCAGTGCTATCACCACTACCACCTGAGTTCCATCCCCAGCCAGAGAGCTAACCCACATGGCACACTCCTGTCTCACTCACCTGTCCCACTCACAGCTCCCCTTAGCAGTGTATTCCAGTAAATCCTTCTGTTCTGCTCCCCACTCTGTCTCTGGTGAATCCCCTCACCTCCTGCACTTCTAGCCCACAACCCAGTTCTTCTACACAAAAAGAAAAAAAAAAGAAAATATGGTGTGTATGTGTGTATATATTACTCACATACATATATTAGATTTGAGAATATTATTCAGCCATTAAAAAAGAAGGAAATCTTGCCATTTGTCATAACAGGGATAGACCTTCAGGTCTAAGTGAAATGAGCGAGAAAGAAAAAGATACTGCACTTACATGTGGACCAAATATATATATATTTATATATAATCTATATAGATATATAGATATCACATAGAAACAGAACAGATTGGTGGTGAAGATATGAGAGGCAGAAGAAATGGAAAGGGCCCAAAGTTCAATTAGAAGAGGATTAAGCTCTGGGAATATAATGGACAGCATTGTTAACAATACTGTCTTGTATATTTGAGTCACCAAGAGAATCTCTCTCTCTCTCTCTCTCTCTCTCTCTCTCTCTCTCTCTCTCTCTCTGTCTCACACACACACACACACACACACACACACATACAGAGAGAGAGAGAGAGAGAGAGATGAATTATAATTGTAAGGTGATAGGTATCTTAAGTACTGTTATTGTGACAATCATTTATCACCTATATTTCAAGTTAGTACATTGTGCACCTTAAAATTATAAAATGTTATATTCCAATTATGTCCTAATAAAGCTGAAAAAACTGTCTCTTCCACCCAATTTTACAAGTCAAAATGATAAGTCATATGAAAAAAGTGTTCATTTCTACTCTAGGGAATAAACTAGTTTTAGGAAAACTAATCAAATGAATCTCCAAGATGGGAAGACACATCAAAATTGGCAAAAATTCTGTTAAGAGTAGACTTCATTTTTAATGTACTACCTAATATTTAGTCTAAAAGATGTTGTTTTTAAACTGCTTTTTATAATTTCCTTCAAAGCATTTAGAGAATTGAACTGAGGAAAATATATACCCAAATACTGTTCCTTTTTTTTAAAGATTTATTTATTTATGCATACAAGAACTGGGGTACAGGCCAGAGATGGGGGGCGGTGTGAGAGGATTCACCAGAGACAGAGTGGGGAACAGAACAGGCAGACTGACTGAAATACACTGCTGAAGGGAGCAGCGGGCAAGACAGGAGAGGTCTGCTACGCCAGGGTAGCTCCTAGGCCAGGATTGAACTAGTGCTTGCAGAAGCTGCAGATAGCTTCACAGTGCTATGCTCTACCCCTTGGAGGGCCCCCAAATACTGTTCTTATATTGATGCTTTGTAACCTCTCAAACTTTTGAAATCCATATATTACTATCTCAGAGGGTTTACAGTGTCACCTCAGATTTACATTTTCCAGAATATTTTCTGCTTTTCCTTTTCAGTTGTTTTGAAATCTTTGCCGTTAGCCTGCTAATTTTAAGGTTAATTAGAGATCACATCTTTCTAAGGGTCTAGAAATTGCATACATGTTACCAGGGCAACTAGCCCACAGAGTGTTACATATACATAGTTTCTCAAAGCTATGGGGGAAGTTAAAAATTCAACCACTCAGTTTCTACAGCTTTAAGCTCAATAGGGTCTAATTTGATCTACAGAGTTCGAATAGATAAATATTAAAAGGAAATTTCTAATAAATTAAAGCTTTGATTATAGTAGTTTAATTATACAGTTAGGTTTAAAAATATTAGAGTCTTGCAGTAATGGCTATAGAATGCCTGTCCCTCTTCAGTTACAAATGCATATGCAAGGATCCCTTAAGGATGGATTGAGATGACACTAAACCAATTTTCATGTCCCTAAATCCCTCCCAAAGTCAGATACACGGTAACTACTAAATAAATACTTGCCCCAACAAGTACACAATAGGGATCTTCTAAGTACGGCTTATCTCTAGCAGAATGAGAAGTTAGAAATATTAGGTACAAGATGAACTAACCGCAGAATATGAAGGCAAAATACTTAGCTCACCATACCTCCCCATGGGTCATTTCTGGGGCATGACTATCAGTAACTTATTCCCTTTTTTTTCTTCTTTTGGCCAATACCACCTTCCCACCCTACATTATGCAATTTGAATGGCCACATTTCAGGGCCAAGTAAGTACTGTGTACTTACTTGAAGTGTAAGTATATGACAGAAATCAAAGTTCATCCCAAAGACTTTTCTGCCAGAAAACAAACTTTCTGGCTTTCACTTATTTGCAGTGGGAGAAAATAAAATCAACAGTATCGAGAAACGAAGAGAAAAGTTGAGAGAAAGCTAGTGGCAATGACCTTTGGTTCTGGACATTTTCAGTTACACTCCTGCCCTTCCAATTTCATGAACCAATAAATTCACACATTTTAAATTTAAGTGAGTTTCTATCTCTTATCCTCAAAAGAACTTCACTTATAAAATGAGTGATCTTCCTCTGAGAAGATGGGTCATTGCATCTCCCCAAAGGAAAGTGCTCAGTCTGGGAGAATTGGTATTAGCGAGGGAGGAGATTATGCTTGGAAAAATCACCTGTTGTTGCTTAAATAGAATATGTTCTCTTTTTTGATAATAATTGCCCCAGTGGAAGTCAGAGATTGTGAATACACACTCCACCCTCCAAAAAACATGTGGGTAATTCCTCTTCCAAGAGATCAACTTCTAACAAGAAATCTGAGTCAGCTGAGAAAGTGCAATACTTTGTCACTTGCCTAGGGAAAAATAGAAGCCCAAAGGGATGGCTACACTCCCTGTGGACTAAATTGATTCAGTTATCTTTCTAAGACCTTAATATTATTCTCCAAAACTAAGAGAATGACTCATCTCATCATCAGGGGCTACTCGAGTGAGATCTTGATTCTATTCTACCATCTTCAGTAAGTAGCATGCCCCAATTGGCCTCCACAGTGTGATTTCCTCCTCTCTCCAGACTGACTCCCCTTCCCATTATATAGCTCTTTCCCCACACTTAATACATTAACTTTCTGTCAGCACTTCCTTTTTGCTCACGTAATCAGGTTATTTTTCAATTAAAATTAACAAGGTCAATTTTGCAGCATTGATATGCAACAGATGATTAAACCAGTAAATTTAGACAAAAAAAAAAGTGGCAGTTTTTCTTTCATTAAAATCTATGCGGAATGTAACACTAAATAATAACTACTATTTATTTAAAGCCAAATACTGTATACACCATATACACAGTGGCATCCATCCATCTTTTGTTCTCACAAAAGCCTTGGAAGTCCAATTTTAAGACCCATAGATGAGGAAACGAGGTACTAGGAGGTAAAGTAATTCAACAGTTCTTTTGCCCAAGTGTCTGTCATGCTGCTTGCACTCTTGTTGGCTCTGCATACCCATGCTTTCTTCCTATTTTTGCATCCCAACAGCAAATTAGGTATCACAACCCCATGCTATAAATAAGGAAACTGAGGCTAATAGTGGTCAAATAACTTGCCCAAAGTCATAGAGCTATTAAGTAATGGAGTCAGAGAGGACAGGCAGCTCTCCCACCGTGCAGCCTTGCCCTTTCCACTGTTCCGTGTTGCTATTCCACTCACTTCAGTTCACCAGTTCAAAGCCTTTCAGGATTTTATTAAAATGATACCCAAAACAGATGTGACGGCTTCCATCTCAATCCCAGCTTCAATCCCAGCCACCAGATGCCATAGCAATCACTTTCTCAAGAACTGATCATGCTTCTGAGGAAGAAGGCAAAGGGAGGGAAACAGGAAAGCAGACACTCAATTCTGGAATTATTCTGAAGCCCAATATGGTGAGCTTAATCCTATCCCCTCCGTCACTTCCACAGAGCATTGGACCAAAGGTCTACAAAATGGCAAATAGAATTTAAGAGAGAATAGCAGGAATCCTCAATTTGAGACA